GGATTTAAAGTCCCACTCAATTAAGCACACTGTCATGGATCCAAAACAAGAAAATAAATTTAAAAATTGAAGAAACAAATCAATCATCATCATCATCATCAATGACAAAACCCAGGTGACTCCATTCCTAGGAAGCCCTCGGCAATAAGCCCGTGCTATTGTAACTAGACCCCGTCAGACAGGAGATAGCAAAATTCCAAAATAACACAACCCAGGTATTAATGCTTAGCTTTTAGGTATAATGTAAAAGTTTTTGCAAAGGCATGGTAGACTCATAGTGGCTCTCGGGGTAGTCCAATCCTAATTTTGGAGTAATTATAAGAAGCTGATTTTTCAGGAGGCATATTTCTACAGTTTCTAAATGGGCTCCTAAGATGAGTATTGCTTAGCACACTCAATAAAAATATCAGCGATGGTGGTAAGAGGTGGAAGGAGGAAACTGCAACCCCTACCCCATTTCCAGATCAGACTTTGAACAAATGCATTGGCTGAAGGAGTGGTGATTCTCTCTGAATGAAGAACCTAGGGCAATTCTAACCATTAATTTTCTCCCAACTCCTTATTCTAAGACCATTGGACCACTTAGCTAAGTGCATGCACTTTAGAGAAAAGGGAGACCCCCTGGTGCTTTTGAGGATTTTTTTTCACCACTGGATTGTAATTGACACTAACTCCTAAACACTGAATGAACCATCCTGGCATTAATGTGGAAGCCATAGAGGCTACATTAATCATAGCTAAAGACTAGCACTTGGTGGGCCACTGCTTGGAGAGCCATTCCTTGGAGAAACCTTCTGATCCATTATCTCCTCTCCAGATACAAAATGAGAAAGGATACTCTTGGAAGTTTGAAGACACCTCACACTGATTCTTTGACCTCAGTCAAGAACTCTTACAGTGGCCAGTGGCAAGCAGAAACTCTGACTGCCCCTATCCCAGCAAAAAGAGGAGTGGCAGGAAGGGGGATAAATGAAATGGTGAAATGTTTTAGTATTGCCCTGGCCCCTATGTAGACCTATGGATTTCTCCTGTTTGCTCCTGCAAAGATAACAGACAGCAGGACATTGGAGTGCAACAGTAGAAGCAGTCTCTGCCAGAGTAGCAAATGGGACTCCTGCCCACCTACCAGCAAGAGAACAAGAGGAAATCTACTTTCTTATGGGATGGACACCCATTTTGTTTATTTTGTTGCCTTTAGTCTATTTACATTGTTATCCCTCATCTCAGAATACAGCCTGAGGAGACCTGGGTTTGGGGGGCATTCTGTACTACACAGTAATGTCATGTGGCAGGCTAGATAAGAAAAATGGGTCAAATATGCATATGCAGGAAATTTTGATAAGTACTTACTTACAAAATGTACCTTAGAGACTGGCTGATTAACCTTACAAGTATTCTCAATGCCTTTGGTACTAGAGAGAATAGAATAGATACGCTTTCCCTCTCCCATCCAGTGAATTCTCTTAATACCACACATGCACCAAATATAAGACAGAATGAATGAAAGAAGATGGACTGACTGGGGGATCTCAGGATTCAAAGAATGATAAAGCAGTGGGGTCTCTGGGTCTTTTGTTTGTTTGTTTGACCTCGAATTCTAGATTGAAATGTAGAAAAATCCACAAAAGCTATGAGGTTTCACATTGTTCGTCTTTGGTCACATGACTGGGTTGCCTGCTGTGTTTGAGAAGCTGTAGCCATGGAGCTGGTAACTGGAGTGGGGGAGGGGGTGGGTGGGTTTAAGGAAGATTCAGAGGATAGCCTGAGGGTCAACAAGCTTTCGTTGCTTCACTGATGATTTGCTCTTATCCTTCTCCCATTCAAACAATAATCGATGGCAATTGATCAATCAATCAATCATTAAATAAACTTTCCAGTCTTACACTCTTGAGTTGTTCACTCAGTGCCAATAGTTCTTTTTCAATGACTTTACAACCTAAAACTCAGCTAGCCAACAAGTCACTTGTAATGACAAAGATCAAAGTGGAATATTCTTGTTTAATAAACTAAGATGAATTTTTGTCTCATTGAATTTAAATCACTAAAATTCTGTACAGTGAATCACACATAGGCAATTTTATTAAGATTTGTATGTTTTATTGATCATTGCATTTCTTAAATGGCAGATAATTCAACTTGCAGGAAAATGTCAACACTGTGAACTGAGACGTGTTTAAATTAAGAAATGTTGAAATCCGTGGAAAGTCAATGTAAAATTAAGCAAAACCCAGTACAGTTTCTGGATTATGTAAGACACGAGTGTGGTGCACTGGCTACAAGAGAGACGATGAGACTTCAGGTGGACCTCTGTAGCATCAGTTTCTCAAAGCTTCCTCATTCAATATTTCTTATTCCAGGAACACCATGAGTACATTCTCTATTCAGCTGGTGGGTGATTTGAGAAAGGCTAGAAGCTCCTATAGACTGGGACTGAGAGTTATCCCCACCAATTCTGTTTGTTCAATGTGTGTTTCTGGTTCTCCTAGACGATCCCAAGCCCCCAACGACAGTTTGTGACATGGGCCAGGGGTGAACTCCCAGAGGCTGGATAATGCACTCTGAGTGCACCAAGAGTCCTAGTGACCCGAGGACACAAGTGCAGAATTCATCTTTTATGGCACATGACACCCGGATCACATATAATCCTAGAGTATCTTTATTTGTTCTATAACTTAATAGTATACCTATAAAATAATTACATTATACTTATAGCTTTTCTTCACTTATAAACAAGACAAAATTTAAATACAATTTGAGCCACTTGAAGGTAAACATTATACGTACAATAACCCAAGAAGTAGCCTCAGACCACAGCATATCATATTGCTTTCATGGGAACAGACATGACTGGAATCATAAAGAGTGTTAACATGTGTACTTTGTGGGTTGCTAGCTTAACTCTTCCTCTACTCGTGTGGGTCCGTTACTAACATGAAATGGATGGGCTTTGCAGCTGGGTGTGAGACTCTCCTCCTCTTCGGTTGTACTGATCATCCTCCATTAAGGAAACTTGATGTCCTTCATAGCTTGTCTGCTACATGCTCTGCTCTGGCTCTAGCTCGAGGTTTTCTACTAAATGTGAAAATTGCAGCTCTTCCTCCCCCCCCCACTTCACCTTTTGCCTTCATTCCAGGCATCCCAGGCCTTGGCAATTTCTCCATTCTCTTCACTTCTCTTTCCCGATTCCAGGCTGTGCGCTCTCATTTCTAAAGCTAATACCCCCTTCAAAACCACACCATCTATGCTCGGGGTTTACTGTGTTGCAGAAGTAAGTAAACTAGAAAACTTGCATGGCAATGCAGGAAAGAGAGTCATTGACACACCCCACCCCAGCTCACCCCAGTCCTGTTCTCCTGGTGGCAAGCTGGAGAGCCAGCATAATCACTACTGAGCATCCAGAAGCCTGAGTTTCAGAGCAGCTTATGGATGGTTTCTCATATTAGAGGAAACCCACTCTTGGGCATGAGCATGCACTGAGAAATTACCAACCAAAGGATATTAATGTATTCTGCTCCCCACCAATGGCTTCTCATTCACATTTGTTAGATTCCATACATGTCAGTCACAGGGACAATTGCACAAGGAGGTTGAATGTGAGTGTAGTTTTGGAGGAAAATAAATTATTTCCATGTCCTCACATTAAAAGACCACACTACAGAGACTTCCATAACTCATCACAAAGTCAAAGGGGTGACCTAAGTTTTTTTAGTATTTTTAGAAGTCTATTCTTTGGGAAGGAAGCTATTTTCTGAGTGACAGTTTACCTACACTACTACCCTCTATGTTTTATTTTTATTTCTGCCTGTGCCACAAAGTGTCTCAATTCCATATATTCTTAAATGACTTTCAATAGAAAATTTTTTTTTGCTTAGTGTTATGGCAGTGAAGACAGTACAAGGTCTCATTTCACATGTGTGCATCAAGCATTACGACTTCCCAGTGACTCCTCTGTAGACACCATCCATCCCAATCCAATTTCTACACTATGCTGAAATGCTTTCGTGTCTCAAAGTAAAATAATGAGGTGTCTCTCCTCCCCACTCAACCTGATAAAAGGTGTGTGGCACTGAATTGCTGGCCTGTCAGTATTTCCCGGTAAAATGCCTTTTCTACAGATCATTCCCTGTTCTACTCTTTATTCAGAATGTGCTGCAAAACCAGAGTCCCAACACGTGAGTCGATACATGAATAGGTTGATAATACCTTTAACAGATTTTTTACACAATAGATCAATTATAAAAGTGACATTAATAAGAAACCCTTTGTATGGTGACAGGCTAATGGCAGAGGGAATAGCACGTGCACCAGAGTTCATCTTGAGTCAACAGATGGAGGCTATGAGGAGCAAGAAAAGAGGTGGTGTTGTCTAGAGGTGTGGAGGGTCTGACCTGCTTAGTACAGTTCCTAGGGACGTCATTTCCTGATTCGCTTAGCTCGCCTTGTCCTCATAGGAATCAGGTTTGTTTTGGAGACCCCTTGAGGGTGAGCATCTCCTTTATGGACGCTGCCCCTATCGACATCACAGCAGCCCGCAGAGCCTGGCAGCTCCCACATTAGAAGAATGAATGCTCACACCACAATGGTCTGGTAGCCAACAGAAGTTTGCGACAGAAGAGTGGTGCATTCTTCACCAGGGGAGGGTCGAGCTGGAGTGTAGGATGTGGCCAGAGAAAGGCTGGCTTTTCCACATGGTGGAAATGTCAATGCCAGATTGACAGTGCATCGCTTGAAAAGTCCTGTCTGGTATCTGAGAGTGTTTTCCAACATCTTCTGTGCCCGATCCATAGCCTGGATTTGAAGACATGAGTGTGGCCCAGGGTGGATCTGGGACATGACGACTTGCGGTCCACATTTGTGACAAGGACACTGTTAGCCCTAAGAGATGCATTTGCTGCTGACAGGGACACCGGGCAGAGTGTGAGTAGGCTCGACAGAAGTGGAGGTGGTGCGACCCAGGGGCCAGGGCGCTCAGGGTTGAGCTGTGTCTTGCTCTGGTGACTTCACTGCTTGTCAGAGTCACTCAGGTTCACAGACATGCACCGGCAATGCTTCACCTTCTGGATTTTCTTGATTCGGAAAGGAGGGTCGAGCCCAGGGCATTCGAGCTCCACGATGACTGAGGTGACACGCTGGGGTTTGCAGAAGGCGCAGGATTGGAAGGAGTCCTCCTCTTTCTTCACGTGCCGCGGGATGTAGAAGGAGTTGCACTGACCATAACAGAAGCGGTTGAGGATGGTGCGACTGCGACAGCCCTCCTCGCTCACGGTCTGCCGCAGCGGCTGCGTCTTGCACCAGTCACTCTTGAGGTACTTGCGCTCGGTGACCACGAGGGCCTCCTGGCTGGAGGCCAGCACCTCCTTGATCTGATGATGCCATCTCTCTGAGTTGTTGCTGCTGCCATCCTTGTACGGTGACGGGATGGCGCCGGCAGGCCGGTTCTTCCGGGTTTCAGCTACCTTTACCAGCACAGCCACCAGGAGCAAGGTCAGCGAGAGCTTCCAGAACATCCTGTCAAGAGAAAACAGTTGGTTGAGAAGGGTTATCTAGAGACCATCCATCTTTCCTCTTAGTGTTTATGGCTGGATGCCCAGAGGCATCAAAGTCTGACATGAGTAAACAGTACCACTGGAGGCAGCTGTGACTATGGACACACAGAACCCAATAGTAAGTACGTTGTAGCACTATAGGGGAAGGCCATGCTACGATTTGAATGGGAAGCATCCCTCATAGTTCACGTTGTTGGAACACTTAGGTCTCAGCTGTAATGCATCCCTGACAGAAGTGAGTCCCTGGGGAACAGCTGGCGCTGTTTCCTGTCTGCTCTTTCCTTCCTCACTGCTGAAGAGTCCTACTCACGTTCCTGTTACAATGCTTTCCGTTTAGAGGCAGGCAATACCCCTTCTTACACGGTAAGCCATACCCTTCCTCCCTTAGCAGATGGCTAAGTCAGGGACTTTGTCACAACAAGGAGAAAAATATGGATATAATAGTAAGTTGAATGATTTCAGAAAAATTAAAGCCAGTAGTGTTGGTGTAGCCCAAAGCCAATTTACATTAGTAGAAATAACTGCACCCAGCACTGACTCTACAGGTGTTCACAGTGTGGGTTAATGCTGGCTTATCTGCTCGACACTGGAGTCTCTTCACAGTTTGCATCTTGAAACAGCCTTAGGCTCTACAACGAAGTAAACTGAGGCCCTGAGGAGTTGAGTCCTTGGTCCCAGATTGCATTTTTCAATTCTAAGCTCATGGGGTCATTTAATATTAGAGTAATTGCAGTTTATTGGTTCCCAAGGTATATCAGAAGGTTTTCTGTTTCCTTTCATATGTAAATGAAATTATAATCAGAGTTGCATTAAATAGGTACGGCTGCTTTCTCAATTTCATGGATGGGGAAACAGGCTTGGAAAGGCTGTGCAACTTGCCAAAATCTCTAAGCCTGTATATGAAGTACTTGAATCTAGGCATCCCAGCTCTGTAATCTAGGCTTCCATGAATATAGCTATCTCTTTTGTAAAGTTTTGTTGAAAGGCCAGTGCTAAATCACAGTGTGTAGATCACTGTTAGGAGTCCAGGTCTAAGTGAAAAGTGGCTTTGTATATCATCCCCAAAATGACTCCTTCTGTCGTCAAGTATTTCTGGAGAACTGATCCTAGTGTAAACACTATCAGAAGCTTTATCAATACGTGTATTTATTTTCCTGTCACAGTTGTGCAGCTAAACATTCCCCAGGTTCCATGTGAGTTCTCCAGAGTTTGCACGTGGCAGATCCTTTAAGAGGGGAAACCTGGTAGGAAGCCTGTAAGTCATTGTGGATATACCCTTGAAATAGAGTGTGGGACCAGTGTCCCCTCCTCCTCCTCTTCTCCTCTCTCTCTCTCTCTCTCTCTCTCTCTCTCTCTCTCTCTCTCTTTCCTTCCCTCCTTCCCTCCCCTCTCTCTCATAGTCTTCTCCTGCACCTTCTCCAGGGTGGCACTTCTAGGAAAGTCACATGATTTTCTCAGAAATTAATCTAAGATGCAAGACTATGTTTACTCTCTCTCTCTCTTCTCTCTCTCTCTCTCTCTCTCTCTCTCTCTCATTAATTTATTTCTTTTACATCCTGACTGTAGTTTCTCCTCCCTCCTCTCTTCCCAGTGTTGCCCTCTTCCCCTCTGCATTCTCCATCCTATTCACGTCTATTCAGAAACTGGCAGGCCTCCCAAGGATGTCAACAAAACATGGCATATCAAATTACAGTAAGACTAAGCACCTCACCTTGTATTAAGGCTGGGCAAAGCAACCCAGTATGAGAAATAGGGTCCCAAAAGCCAGCAAAAGAGTCAGAGATAGCCCCTGCTACTACTGTTGGGAGTCCCACAAGAAGACCAAGCTACATAACTGCCAGATATATGCAGAGGGCCTAGATTGCTCCCGAGCAGCATCAGAACCCCAGAGGACCCCCCATCCAGATCAGAAGCCATGCACATACATAGGCAGAACTTCAGCCTAAACTTGGGCATCAACCCCCTGCTAGACCAGAGACCATCCAGAATATCAAAAGTCCAGCCGCTAGTGGGGACAAAGATGCTAGACTCATCCACAGGCCAGGGGATCCAGAAGACCAGAAAGGAAACAGAAACTAAGGAAGAAAACACCCACCTAACAAAGACAAATCCAGAAATTGGCATCTAGACCTAGAAACCAAATCCAGATGTCTAAACATAAGTGTAAGAACACAAACAACAACCAGGGTAATATGGCACCACCAGGACCCAGCCACCCCACTCCAGCTAGATGCCTTCTCTCTTTTATTTCTGGACTGCAATAGCGTGAGCAGCTCGCTCTGTCATTCACCCCTCCCTTGATCTGGCACTTCTCCATGGACTAAAACCATCTATGGACTAAAACCTTCAAAACTGTGAGCCAAAACACACCCTTCATCTTTCTCAGTTATCTCCAGTATTTTGTGTCAGTAAAGGAAAGCTGACTAACGAGGAAACCCATGGTCACAGAGGATATGAAGGTATGAGGAAAATGTACCTATTGTGCTTGGAGAAGGAATGATAAGAGTCAAGGTAATTTGGTGTCTGGGGCAGACAAGTCTCTCAACATCTGGAAAGCATGGGCTGAGGAAATGGCTTAGTGGGGTAGGTGCTTCCTGTGACAGCATGAAGACTCGAGTTTAGATCTCCAGAAACCTAGTAAAGGAAAGCCTGGCATGGAGGCACACACCTGTGATTCCAGACTAGAAGGCAGAGACTGGGGAGCCAGGGCTTCCTGGCTAGCCAACCTAGCTAATCATTGAGTCCTAGGTTCATTGAGATATAAAGAAAAATTAAAAAAGAATTTGTTCTGGTGATGTTGCTACCAGAAACACTGGCTAACGTTAGAGAATGTGAGTGACGTTGACCAACAGGAAGAAACATTGAAGAACTGAGAGACAGGGAAAGGATTTTTTGTTTCCTGTTATAAAAACATTTGTACACCACAATTATTAAAATTTTAAGTCCAAGTTTCTTTTAAGGGCTTTTCTCACGCCTCCTTGGTTCCACACATGACGTGTCACATGAAAATGGCCACACTTCTAGCAGACCCATGGCAAGAGTTGAGACTTGGATTTGCTCAGCATATTGTATCTGTGGAGTGATTTGTGATCTCCATAGCCTCTTAAAAGGAGAGTCTCTTGGTTCTATTTTAATAATTTCCAAAACTATTAACATGCTAAGTAAACAAAACCAAAAATTTTCAAGTCTCAGCCAGGAAAGATTTATGGCCAGCCTGGTCCTCTGCTCCTAGCTCCGACATCAGTTTATCCTGGACTCTTAGTAGGCTCAAACAGCATGCTTTCTCCTTCAGCAGCTTCTTACTGTTGTCAGGGAGAAGAGAGCTAAAACATGCCCAGATCGATTCGGGGCAGAAACTCTTCGTGTGAACAATGTTCAATGTGGTGATTGGTAACAGGCTTTCTCTGAGCACTTTAAAAGGGCACGCAAACATCTGGCATCCATCCCTGGAAGCTGTGTCTCCCAAGAACTGAGGAAGGAAAGCAAACTTCCAATTTTTAGGAAAGGGAAAGATACTGATAAAATCTCGGCAACTGGGGCCAAGTCTGGCTTTTCTCTCCATCTCCATCCTCTCTCTCTCTCTCTCTCTCTCTCTCTCTCTCTCTCTCTGTGTGTGTGTGTGTGGTGTGTGTGTGTGTGTGTGTGTGTGTGTGTGTGTGTGTGTGTGTGTGTGATATCTAATTTCTCCTAAGAAGTTGGCCAAGGACCTGGCATCTCAGTGCCAGAACAGGTAAGCTAGTTGCTTACTTGTTTAGCTACAATGGCTACTGGGAGGTGTCCTTATTACTTCAGGGGCAGTTGAACCAGCTACTGCCACTGACACCTTCTCTGCTCGCCCTTGCAATCTGGTAAGAGTCATATTGGAGAGAAGGTGCACATCTCTGCCTTCGGTTTATCATCTATCCCACACACATGTCATGGGGCCAATCTGGACCTGCATTTAGCGTTCAGTGCTGCCTGAACCCCCGTTCTGTTCAGAGCAATGGCTGGCATGTAACCACCTCTCAGGAATGCGGCTACGGCTGCCAGTAATGACAGCACGAGGATACTTCATTTAACTCTCACATCTTGTGTTTGGCTTGTATCAGAAGAAACTCATAAATAACTCCTGTTGGTTTTATTAACCATCTTTCTGGCCTGACAATGTTGTCAATTTGCAAAGTGTGCCAGGACTATAAATGCTGATGGCCCAAGCAGACCAGCTTGGCCAAAGTAGATTGTATAAAAAGAGAGCTCTAGTGGAAGTATTTCCCCTAAGTGAACGCCCTTGGGCCTGACCTTTGAAGCCAGAGAAGGCTACCCTCTAGGTAGCCAAAGGATAAAAAGTCCCTTCTATCAGCCCTTCATAGAAGGGTCGATGACATGAAACTTGTGATTTCTAGAAAAGGTCAGCAGTGCCGAGTCACTGGGTGTATGCAGATGAGCAATAGCCAAAGATGCAGTCAAACTGGGGACCTCACTCTCAGAGTGACCTTGCTGGATTTTAGACATCCTCCCAAGACTGAACTGGACTGAGTAGGAGTCGAGAATAGAATGGGGCCCGGATATTTTCTGTGTCCTAGGAATTCCAGAATGCCAGGGAAGGATGAAGGAAACTATTTGAGATAAACTTCTCCACTACCCAAATAGACAGACTCTAACCAAGCAAAACACTGCAAACCCAGACCCCCAACCATGTTAACCACCAGGGATTGTTGTTTATAGGTTTTCTACAGCCACAGCTTCAACAAGCAAAGGTACTTCATCTGTAATTTTGAGTCTTCTACTGGGAAGGTAATGTTTAGCTCCTTGTCTAACTCTCTCGAGGCACATTCAGATTTCCTTGGTCTCCAAGATCATCCTTTGCTTGGGGTTCCTTGTTTCTGAAACCACTTATCTCCACCCCACCCCCCGCCCCTGGCAACTGTAAACTGAGGTAAACTATGGTCCATGGGGCCAAACCAAACCTGAGGTTCTGTTTT